CGAGTAGATCATGTTGTGCGGGGTGGAGAACCCTCGCTCCGCGCAAGGGGGATGATCGCACCACGTTGTGTTAAAATGGTCAAGCACCCTCGAGGCAGTTACACAGTGCTTACAACTGTCTCAGGAAGTGAAAGCACCAGAAAATAAATTAATTCATACGCAGCTGTCATCCGTACGCAAAGAAGAAAGCACAAGATGCCGAACACCCTTAGCAGGATGCAGCGCACCCTTCATGCGACTCGCCGAATACCTCACGGCACTTCGCGCTTGGTGATGTGAGAGCCTGATCCGGTGAGAACCCGGCGTACTCCGTCCCGTCTTTGTAGGGATCCGGTCAATGGCCAAACGACGACGGCATGCAAGACTATGAGTACACCGCCCCCCCCCCGCCCTCCAACCGCCTGAAAAAAATCAAAAACGATCACAGGTGCGGGCTCCCCTTGAAGAGTCGGCCGGGAAGGTGAACGTGCTGCTTCAGTCTTACATCGGGGGCGAGAGGCCCAAGAGCTTCACCCTGGCGTCGGACACCAACTACGTGGCGCAGAACGCCGGCCGCGTGTCGCGCGCCGTGTTCGAGATCGCCCTGAGGAAGGGGTGGTGCGGACTGGCCCTCACGATGCTGGAGATCAGCAAGGCTGTCGACCGGAGGGTCTGGTGGGTGAAATAGACGCTACCCGTGCACGAGCTGCTGATTGGGGAAATGGGGGTGATTTGATTTCTTGCGTTCCTTCCCGCAGGGTCTGATGGGTGCTGCTGGCCTTTGGCAGGAAGGGGATGCTGATTGGGCAGGGACGTTTGGTTGTTGTTTCCTTTCGGTTTTGGATTCGTGGAAGAACGTTTTTCTCGGTACCGAGGCTGGAGAGATCCACGAAGGCGATCGCGATCGAACCGGTCTTGGTGTAGTTTCCAAGCTCTTGTTGTGGTTTTGTGTCTGGAACTCCTGAGGGATGGGTGCGTTCAATAGCTTCAGGTGACGCTCCAAGCCGCGCTGGTGGTTGGTTTTGTGTGTCGTTTTTGGCAGCTGGTTTTTTTCTGTTTTCCTTCTCGCTCTTTTTGTCTTCAGGTGGTTCCAGTCTCCTCTCCGACAGTTCGGTGTGCTCCCCGGGCATGTCCTCATGAACCTTGAGGGGAAGGGGGGCGGCGGCTCCGGAGGGATCGGGAAGCTGCTCGACATGGACGCGAGGGAGGTCGGAGCACTCTGCCATAACCATCGCATGGGGGACACGGTGAGGGAGTTGTTTCTTGAGGGCGGGGTGCGTATGTGAGGAGAGCAACAAGAGTGCCTCCGTGTTGTTGTTGTTGCTGCTGCTGTTTTTGTTGTTGTTGCCGTTGCTCTTGTTGTAGTTGGTGCGTTTGCCGCCGTCGTTGCTGTTTTTGTTGTTATTGATGATGATATGGCTCTTGTTCTTGCTGTTGATGGTGTTGTTGTTGTTTCATTGCTCTTGCTGCAGTTGGTGCCATTGTCGCCGTAGTTGCTGTTTTTGTTGCTGTTGATGATGATGATATGGCTCTTGTTCTTGCTGTTGATGGTGTTGTTGTTGTTACATTGCTCTTGCTGCAGTCGGTGCCATTGTCGCCGTCGTTGCTGTTTGTTGTTGTTGTTGATGATGACGATATGGCTCTTGTTCTTGCTGTGCGTGGTGTTGCTGTTGCTGCCGTTGCTGTCACACTGCAGTCGCTGTTTCGCTCGTCGTTGTTGTGTTGTTGGTGTTGATATTGGTGCTGTCCCTGTTGCTGCTGCTGCTGCTGTTACTGCCGTTGTTGTATTCATGGCTGCTGGTAGCAAGCTTCTTTTGCCGTGCCAGTCTCGGTGTTGACATCGTTTCGACATGGATTATCTTGTACAACACTCAGTTCTCTTATCAGGCTCGAGCACACGGCACTGTTGCGTGAATCGTGAAACGAAAATTTGGGACACCAGGTGGAAACCGGGTCAGTGATGTGTGTGCTTTCTTACCTACCCTTCGAGACAAAATCGCGCGATTCTGGCCCCACCACTCGAGCAAATGTTTAAGAAGCTTCCCTTGTGGGTTTCGTCTTATGAAGGTGTTCAGGGTTTGACACTCCCGCGGGCATTTGGATCACCGATAACAATGACGTCAGGACAACGACAAATTTAATGCAAATGAGCAAATGATGACCTAACCCGCGCCCCGCTCTCTGGCCGACTCTGTCCACGTGCACAGGTGCTGCGGCTGGCGAGATCACTGCCGGCGTTGCACATCGAGACGTCCGTGCAGCCCGTCACTAGGGGTATTCTCAGGCTGACGCTCACCGTTTCCGCGGACTTCCTTTGGCAGGTGCAGTGGCACAACGCAGGAAACGAGAAGACGGCAAAAGCAGCGTGCGGTCACCGCTGGGCAGTAGCCAAGGCCGGCTTGCAAAAGCGCCCCTATTGTGTGCCTAGGGGGTGAAAGTCAAGGGCAGGGTCAAACTTCACTTTTTTTGTTTATTTTCATCCCATTCAATCTGGGCGCCGGTTCGCGCGTTTCGGTATTATACGCTCGCCAAACCGACGCGGGGGACAGAGGGCTGGTGAATTGTTTTTTGTGTACAGATTCTAACCTATTGGTGATTTATGGGTTGGTTGAGGGCCCTGTGGTTGTAGGCACGCATGCATGCACCTGTGCTGGTGTCTTCAGTCCTTTGATTACCGCGCCAAACCGACAGACCAAATGCATTGTGCTGGTCTTGGACTGGTGCCGGTATTCGTATGTGGCGGTTGGTAGGACAAATTCCACGGAGCGACGGAGGCGTTCTATATCTGGGTGGAGGACGGCGACAACGAGCACGTGTATCACTCCGAGAACTTCCTCCTCAAGAAGTGAGTTATCGCGCAGAAGGCGGCGAACGTTTTTGTTTGGAGCAGTATGGAAGTCCCTGTGTATGAAATTGGCCCGCCGCAAAGAGAGGGGTGTGGCCTACTGTGTGCCTCGAGCAGTATGGGAGTCCCTCTGTTGCATGAAGCTACGAGAGGGGTGTGCCTCGTGGGTCGAGTGTCTCTGTCATTGTGGCGTTCGCAGTGAAAGCGGTTCCGTTCTCACTCAGGTTTACATCCTTGCTGGTGTAAATATCGCGGGCTGGTCCAACTTTTGCGGAAGCCTTCCGTGATCGCAGGCTAACTCTCCAAGAGGGTGCTCCATATTAGAATAGAACAAAACCCAGAAAAAATCAACAGAGTGGTGGGTGGTCATCGCGGGTATGGACCTAAAAAGGACAACACACAAGATAGTCCTGCACGGCACAGAGGGTGGGGGCCCAGGCTCTGGGATTCCTTTCCTCTACGCGTGTGGTGCCTAGCCTATCGCATCCCCAAGAAATTGTGCCTTTGTGTCCTCGGATCGGAGTTGCTGAATTGGATAGGTGATGCCGTGGGTAGTTGTTAAACTCTCCGGAGCGACTGTTATCAATCCCCAAGACGACGAAAATAGCATTCCTAGACGAATGTGCCCTATTGGAGCCCGATTGCCCTGAGGACCAGCGAGTGAGCGCATTGAGATCGCCAAAAAAAAAAATTCTTCTTCGCTCCTGCCATGTGCTCGTCGCTGCTGGCACGCTCGTGGGGGTGAATCTTTGGCTGCGCCCTTCAAAGTATGGTTGGGTGGCGGTTGTTTCCGGGTAGCATCCCACGCTGGGCGACGGATCTTGCCCCTTGTAGCCGACTTGAGGTCTAACTTCGGCTCCCGCTTAGTAGTTTGTTGGCGTGTGCGTGCTTCTGTATGTGCTTTTTAATTCCATGCCCCTTTTCAACCCCCACCATGCCCAGCTTTGATCACGACCACCATTGCGGCTGTACAGAAAGCGGAGGAGCGAGCCCCAGGAGCTGTCATTCAACATCCCTGTTTTCGAGCCCGTGCCAGCGCAGTACTGGGTGCGATGGTGCAGCGACCGCTGGGTGGGCTGCGACGACGTTCAGCCCGTGTCTTTCCAGCACCTGGTGTTACCTGAAAGGTGTGTTGTGTTTGGTGTTGTGTTTTTTGTCTCCCTCGCTTGTTGTTGGTGTCGTTGTCGTAGGTTGTTGTCGGTGTTGTTGGTAGTGGTGGTGTTCCTGTTGGTGGTGGTGACGGTGGTAGTGTTGCTGTTGTCGTCGTTGTCGATCTTGTTGTTTGGTTGCTGGCATTGTTGCACTGGTTGGGGATGTGTCCTACTAGGGCGACTCTGAATCGTGCCGTAATTGCACAACGGAATGATATACCAACTCAACCCATACAGACCGCGTCTGTGTCGTTTTTGGCGCATGGTTTCACTGTCCTCCCTGTCAGCATGTTCGTTTCTTCGATTGTTTAGCCTCCCGCCACCGTTCCCCAATTCCCGTTGGTACAGATACACCGCACACACACCCCTGCTCGATTTGAGGCCACTGCCCACGACGGCACTGCAGAACCCCAAGTACGAGAGCCTTTACCGGTAAGGACGGCTACATACGTATTTCGGTGTTTTCATAAGAGTCTTTTGCAGTGAACGGGGATGAACTGTTCGTGTCCCCTACGTACGTGGAATTCCTCTACGTCCGTGGACTGTTGCGTGTTCTTGTAGCCCGCGCCCATCGGACAGGTGCTGCTATACAGCATTGGCAATCCGCCGCTGTTCCACACGTCCCACAACCACCCATCAGTCGGAAGCACCGAACGTATATCATCGCCCTGACATGAACTCGAAGCCTTTTTTTGTGGCACCGGTGCCTCGCTGTGGAACCCGACTCGGGTATCGACCGCAACGAGACGTGTCTCTGAATTCTCGCCCTTTTCCGTGGATGTACACAGGAACGGTGCCGTAGTCATTCACTCTCAGCGTTGTCGTTTCTGCCATGACTTGGAAGCGACGTCTGCAGAACATCCGGGGTAGATAAGCCAAGCTGCACCATGACGACGACTGCCAACAACCAAAATCGACGCTTTGCAATATCTTGTCACTCCGCCCGCCCCCCCGCGGCCCGAACGCAGGTACCAGCACTTTAATCCTATCCAGACGCAGCTCTTCCACGTGCTCTACCACAGCGACGAGAGCGTGCTGCTGGGCGCGCCCACGGGGTCGGGAAAGACCGCCGTCGCCGAGATCGCCATCATGCGGATGCTCAACCAGCACCCGGGAGCGAAGGTATGTGACTCCGTGCCACCCTAGCTCTCTACTCCGTAGACGATGCGATACCCTGCCGATTTTGTTCTAGTCGTTTGGGAGGTTTAGGAGCGCTGAGTGGTGAGGTTGAAGATTAAGTCAGCATGAGCTGACGCAGCGCGCGGGTATGGACGGATGAGGCCGAGGGCAAGCTGCTTGTATCTGCACAGCAGTCGTGTCGTCGACGGTCAGGCATGATCACACGGGCAAGCTCAACCGGCACCCAGCGACCAAGCTTGGAGGGCAAGCCCAGTGTTCCGTGTATCAGCGGTAGACGTGTGACAAATTCGTCGGTGGTTCGGTAGTGTGGCTTGGCGGTGGCGCGGTGTTGGCGAGTTCCGCTGGAGAATTCGAAGAGCCGGCATTTTTCGGCATCTCTTGGGGTACTGCTGCGGTGTCGCCTCGCACGCTTGATACCTGTCTTCGGAGTGGTTGTCTTCGTCTTTCCTTTTCGAGCCGTGGCCATCTTTGTGCCAGTCCTCTACACCAGGTTGCCGTTGCCATTGTTGTATGTTGTACTGCTCAGGTTGGGTTGTTGGCACTCCTACTTGCGCCTGAATTTTTCTCTTTTATCATGTCTGTCCGGGGGATCTGCAGGCGGTATATGTAGCCCCCCTTAAAGCCCTCGCTAGGGAGAGGCTGAAGGACTGGAGGGAGAAGTTCGGCAAGAAGATGGGCATGGGTGTTCTAGAGTTAACGGGCGATCACACGCCCGATGGGGATGCGCTCAGGTAAGGGTCGGGTCGCGAAAGTAGAGCGGTTGTGGCTGATGTCCCTGTTGTTGTTGTCGTCGTCGTCGTCGTCGTCGTCGTCGTCGTCGTCGTCGTCGTCGTCGTCGTTGTTGTTGTTGTTGTTGTTTGTCGTCGGTGTTGGCTCTGACGATGATGACGACAGTACGCACACCTCCCACCGCAGGTGCTTTTTGAAGGTACTCTACGTGTGCACTTCCTGGCATTGCAATCTCACGTTGCCGTTGATGTTCTAGCTGATGTTGTGGCAACGCCTGACTGTGACACGTGCCGCAACAGGCGGGCGAGCATCATCATCACCACCCCTGAGAAGTGGGACGGGGTCACGCGGGGCTGGAAGTCGAGGGACTACGTGAAGGACACCGGCTTGGTGGTGAGATCTTCGGAGTTCCATCAGTGTGCATTTTTCCCCCCTCCTTTTTGCAGGTGTACACTGATCGACAGCGGACGGCTTCGGTATGTTGGAGGTGGATTGCATTGGTGTGAAGTTCAGTTCGATTTGCTGGTTGGCGTGTTGCTAGCTGCTCGGGCAACCGATCGCATGAAGGACGCAAGCCTGGTGATGAGGTGGTCGGACCTTGAGCCTTTGAATTGGTTATCATTTCTGGCGGTTTGGGCTGGTGTAGAGACTGGAGCACTTGATCGGCTACAAAAGTGTTGGTAGTGGACAGAGGTCCGAATAGAAACGCAGGGGTGAACAAGCTGCCTGGCGACGAGCCTAGCTGGTGCCAAGCCTAGCTGGTGACATGCCCCACGAAACGGTGAGAAGTCGGAGAGTACGCAGCTTCAGGGAGGTGATGCTATGATTGCACAATGATGGATGCCACGGCAGGGAGCTGCGCGGTGGTGGTGTACCTTCTCCTTCCGCACATTCTCCTGTCTCAGACTGGACCCTGTCGCCCAAGCTTTTTCCGAGAGCCCCCCCCGTCATGAGGTTCCGCGGTCTAGAACGCGTACGTTTTTTCTTACGCCTTGATCAGCCCGTAAACGAGGCCGATGGTTACGAAAAAACGCACGCCAGCAACTTTTTTTTTGTTTTATCTGTGTTTCGCCACTTGCTTTGTGCCAGATCATGGATGAGATCCACTTGCTGGGGGAGGACAGGGGCCCCGTGCTAGAGGTTATCGTCAGCCGGATGCGGTACATCGCGGCGTCCGCTGGGAAGAGGGATACGGGCACGGGCCACCGGCAGGTGCTCGTCCTTGATCTTTCGAAGATGTCATTCCTGGCTCTCTCTGTTGTCTATTTCAAAACGTTCTGATCTGCTGTACAGATGGCATCGAAACATGGCGGTATCCTGCTGTTGCTTGTTTCATACTTCGTACTTCGCAGTTTTGATGTAGTGCGTTCTTTCCTGGGAACGGCTCTCGCTCTCTCCGCTGGTCACTTTGCGGAGGGGGGCACGCGGACAGTGAATCAGCCGGCACTAGCGAAAGATTACTGGACACACACTGACGCAACTTGGTGTTTTTCCTTCTCTCCATCCTCGTTTCTGAGTTGAAAGGGGGGTGTCCCACTATCCCTACCCAGGACAAAGTCTTCCCAGACACCCCGCAGGTTGCCTCGATCACATGCGTGCAAGAAAACAAGAACGCCTTCCATACGTGTCCCGTGTGGTTTCCGCCTTCGCAGCCGGTAGCGTTACCCCTCCCCCATTTTTGGTTGCTCTTGTGCTGCGAGCGCAATAGATGAAAGCGGGTACTTTGAATGAAGCCGCCACCGATACACTGGCAAGTGCGGTCGGTGGGTGTGAGCGCTGCTCTCGCCAACTCTCGAGACCTCGCGGACTAACTCTGTTCGCATTCCGCATTCGATCACACAGCATTGTTGTAGACGAAACCGTATGCGATGGTACAGCCGTGTTCGGCGAAGGCTCAGTCGATGATGCCGCATTTTTGAATCAGCATTCGTGCATTCCATGAAACCGCATCCATGAAATCGTATTCCATGCGTCCCATTAAACGGCATTGCACGAAATTCCATCCCATGTAAACGCCACCGACATCACCGTGCGGGGCAGGTGCGGTTCGCGGGTTTGAGCACGGCTCTCGCCAATCCTCGAGACCTCGCGGACTGGCTCGGTGTAAAGGACTCCGGACTGTACAACTTCAGGCCGAGCGTACGCCCTATCCCCTGTGAAGTCCACATCCAGGTGCCCCATAGCATTGGTGGAGGTTTTTACGGATAGGTTGGAGTATTGTTTTGCCTTGTTGTAGGTAATCGTCTGTTTTGCTGCTGTTGGCAGTTGCTGTTCATGTACGCGTTCTTGGTGATATTGGTTAGGTTTGCTGTTGTAGTAATGTCAATAGAGCATCGGGGTAGAGTATTGCTGCGATGTACCCGCCACCACCTCTTGCAAGTGTCTGCCTGCTGCACATCGCTCATCGTGGTTGTTCTTGGCGTTGAATATTTTTCAACTGTCCCCGCACTAATCCCATTCCAAACCCACCCTGCTGCTGCTGCCGCTGCTGCTACTGCTGCTGCTGCTTACGGGAATCAAGGGATACCCGGGCAAGCATTACTGCCCACGCATGGCCAGCATGAACAAGCCCACCTACGCCGCTATCATGGAACACAGGTTGTCATCCTGTTGCTGCTATTGTGCCTTGTTTTTGGCTTCGCCATAGCGCGGTTGTGTTACGCACGACTGAACCCCAAGAGAAGACGGGGTTCAATGGGGTGTTGTCCTCACATTCAGCATTGCATTCAACCGATGCACGCCGTATCAGCCCTTCCTTATTCCGTCCTAGTCGTTGCTGAATGTACATTGCCTGTTTCCAACCCAACCCTATCTTGAGAACGCTCGACGACCAGTACGACGCTGCGATTTACATTGCATTCAGCCTCCGTGCCTCACGACTCGTGCGGGTCGGAAGGCGATGCCTTGGGCCCGAACCATTTTCACGGCGGTGACCGTTTCACTCGCAACATGTATACACCTAGCCCATCGGATTAGTGCTTGCGTGGTATCTCCAGTGCCCGTTCAGGCCGAGGTACCAAAACTCTCACATTAGAGACTCTATCAAGAAATGGTACACCCTAACGAGGCAACAGCCAGGTTGCAGGGAAAATCGTTGAGCGCCGCATCCATTCCGGATGTGCCGGGTCTGCATTCACAATGCGTGCCAGGTTTTGTGATGCATGCCCTTGCAGCGTTCCGAAACGTGCAGTGTTCTTGTTGACCTGCGATCGCCATTCATGCTACCGAGGGACTCCTGGAGCATCCACACGCGCTCCACGCAACACACCAATCCGAACAACGTTCCCTTGCTTCTCATTCGTCGTCACTCCCAGCCGACGGCCATCGAACAAACAGGCTGTACACAATCCTGCGATCAGTAAAGTTTTTTTTTTTGTCGAAACCGACATTTTTGTCTCTGTGTCCTCATATCATTTTTTGTTCTTTCTTTCATATATAGTTTTTTTTTTTTCCCAACTGCTTTTTTTTTTTTTTTCCAACAGTCCGGACAAGCCCGTGCTCGTGTTCGTGGCGTCGCGGAGGCAGACCCGCTTGACGGCGCTCGACCTCATCAGCCTGTGCGCCAGGGCCGACAACCCCCGACGGTTCGTCAGGATGCCCGAGGAAGAGGCGTCTACGGCCTCCGAATCTGTTAGGTAAGGTGGTGTCCAAGGGCCGCTGCTCTGGAAAGACTTGCGCCCCCCCCCCCCCCGCCCTAGATGGGACCACGATGTCGTTTCCCGCTGCAGAGCAAGGGGCGGGATTCGTGGCATGGTATTGCCGCCTGAGGTTTAGGGTCAGGGATCGGCCTTGGTGAGGGGTCCCTGCCACGTCTTTTTTTTCACTCCTGTCCTAGCTGTCACGAACGTGGACCCTAAGATGCGGCGAGCGGAGTGATTGGAGTTTGCGAGGACGGCGGCTCTTTGCTCTGGTTCTAGCCCAAAGAATACGAAAGGAAACTGTTTTCTGAAACACTGAACGGGTGAAAGTGGGCACACGTTGGTCAGCGGTTCCGCAAAAATGTGCATTTGCCCGGAGGGAGCTTGAATGCTTTTGGGCACAGGGGATTGTTGTCCTTGCTCGGCGTCTGTCCGATTGTTGTTGGACTTGAGTACTTCGTTCGGTGCTAAGCGGCGATCGTGGTGAATAGATTCACGGATTCGTGGCTGTTGTTGCTGTCGTTGTTGCTGTTGTTGACACTGCTGTCGTAATTGCTGCTGCTGCTGCTGCTGCTGCTGCTGCTGCTGCTGCTGCTGCTGCTGCTTCCATCAACCCCCATTGTTTTTTTCTTCCCTACTCGATGGCGATGCATTTGTAGGGATCAGGCCTTGCAGCACACGCTGGCTTTCGGCATTGGCATCCACCACGCCGGCCTGGCCGAAGGAGATCGAAACATCGTGGAGGCGTTGTTTGAGCAGGGAAAGATTCAGGTACCCCGATTTTTCTCTTGGGACCAGCGTACCCCCCTGCCCACCCCCTTCCGTTCCCGCCCTTTTTCTCTCAGTCTTCTTTCCTTCTTCTTTTTTTTTGTCCACAAGCATTGCTACAGGTCACCGTCAGGTTGCGAAGACCTCAGGTTGCGAAGACCTTAGGTTGCGAAGACCTCAGATTGCAAAGAAATTGCGGTTTCGCTGATGCCACGCGTGGTGATCGGTGTACCCCCGTTCATCCGCGCGCCGCATAAGTGGTGAACGGTGTGCCCATTTTAACCGCGCGCCGCGCCTGAGAGATTCCCATCCTCGCTCAGCTTTCTTGCCCTGCTCTCCAACATCAATTCTAGTCTATCAATGGCCTCTTGACGGGCTCATTTTTTTTGCCGGTATCGTGTTTCAGTCACGTTTCGTCAATCTCGTCTTCTTGTAGTATCAATATTGTCGCTCTTACCGGTGGGCTCCTGTTCGCCGCTCAGCTCACGCGCGCACGGAAATAGAGACGATGACGCTACAGGTCCAAGAACCGCCACCAAATAACAACAACTACATCTACACGTACAGCAGCAGCAGCAGCAGCAACTGCCAACAGCAACAGCTGCTGTACCAATACCAACGAGAGACACAGCCACAACAACAACAACCGCTATACCTTTGCAACTGCAGCAGCAGGAGCACCACCACCAGCAGCAGCAGCAACAAACCGACAGCAACTAATTGCGACGACAACCACAAACACGACGCCGCCACGATGCGAATCCCAGGTGCTGGTCTGCACGTCCACCCTCGCGTGGGGAGTGAACTTCCCGGCTCACCTGGTGGTGGTCAAGGGGACGGAGTTCTTCGACGGAAAGAGTCAGCGCTACGTCGACTTCCCCATCACCGACCTCCTCCAGGTTAGGGTACTTCCTGCGGTAGCATCGCCTCCTTGTGCGTTTCTTTTTTGTTCTACCGTACCCGGTGTGCGTGCGCTACGAAGTGTGTGATATGTGATGAAATTGTTTTCGGACTTCCGGGGTTCCCGTCGTGGTGGTCGACCGGTAGGCTAGAGATCCAGGAGACGGGGGCAACAACAGACTACCGACGAGCATTCCCAACGGCTCGTCCAACCGCACTGTCAAAACCGCGTTGCACGGGTGTGGTTGTAGCTTAGGCGCCAGCGAGTGTGTCTTGCTTCTCAACACGAAGAGACAAAGACGGGCGACACAACCGCAACAAGCCAACGCGCATGAGCTTTTCGACGAACGCTGTCGTTTCTAGGCGACAACACCGAAGCCTGTGTCGTGTCCGTTGCATCACTCGCTCGGTGGCTTTCGGCGGATGGGGCTTTTTCCACAGGACGGTCGGATTCGATCCTCCTGTTAATCATCCAGCGCTTGGTAATTCCCCTCTCAGGTGTAGCGGCGAACGTTTCAAAGCTGCTTCATACGACGTTCGCAACCTGGAGACTTGGCAGTATGTCGTTCTGGTTTAGCTTCCTCTGTCAAGTTTGACATCCTTTGCCCGCGTCCTACCCCGAGTTCATTCCTAGCGTACGTGCCCGCTTTTCTATACATTTCGCGCATTCTGCCTTGCCGGTGTGTGGTGATTATGAAACCCATGGTGTGCTCTGGAACAACCCTTGCACACAATTTACGTCTCATGTCCTGCAACAACCGCCGAGATTTTCGTCGCGAAAAACACATGCAACCACGAAAGCCATGCCATCTTGCTCGTAGCCACAACCCTGGATGGACGCCGACACGCTCTCCGCTTTCTGTGCGCGACGCGTCAGATGATAGGGCGAGCCGGGCGGCCCCAGTTCGACGACCGCGCCGTGGCCTGCATCCTGGTGCACGAGCCCAAGAAGAACTTCTTCAAGAAGTTTCTGTACGAGCCGTTCCCCGTGGAGTCCAAGCTGCCCGCATCGCTGCACAACCACCTCAGTGCCGAGTGCGCCGGGGGCGCGATCAGGTGCTTGATTTCTTTTTTGAGTTAATGTTGTTGCTTTGTCGTTACGAAGCATGCTCTTGTAGCGGCTGTGAAGCTTCTGTGGAGACCATATGTTGTTTGTTGTTTGCGGGACTTGTTGTTTAATGAGAGCACAGGAGCCGCGGCCTTGTCGGAGTCGGCTGGACAGCGATTCTATGAGTTTTCACTCCAGCTTTGTCAATCTCCGACGTGTTGTGGGCCATGCGGAAGGATAGGTTGTTTCCCCTCAAGCAGGGAGGGCATCTGGGGGAAGAGGTGCGTGTTTCGCGGAACGTGATCGATAAAGGCGCGGTCTCGAGTCCCTTGTGCGTGGTCAACGTTTTAACGCTTCTTCTTCTCGGCACAAGCACCGCAATGGAGGAGCCGCGAAGCGTGGGACGCAGTGAGCACGTAAGACCGGCACGGAATTCATCCCCGCGCACTGTCGGGATGTGCGAACGTGTTACTGTTACTTTTTGTTGAAGTTTAGCAGCTGAGAGTGAAATGAAATTGGAGGTGCGCGCATCGGAGCAACTACGCTGCAGCTGCTGCCACTGCTACACGTCCATGCTGCTGCTGCTGCTGCTGCTGCTGTCGCTTAGGTCGAGGAGAGACGCTGTTGACTACCTGACATGGACCTTTTACTTCGTGCGGCTGCTGGCGAATCCATCGTTCTACGGCCTCGAGGACACATCCACCGAAGGGGTGCAGGTTAGACCTCGTATTTTTGCAATTGGACCTCGGCCAATCTTACGATTGTGTGCGATTTAACGCCTACCAGTGGTGGCTAGCATCGATCGGCTTGGCACCTCCTCCTGTTGTGTCCTCCTGAAAAGCTGAAGCCATCAATGCTCACGGTACCTCGGAGGGTCACCCATGAAAGTTATCTCTCTCACGCCGACGGACTTCACTATTTTTCGTTGATGGGATGGCGATGCTTTTGCTGTCGTTGTGAACAAGAGCATATGATTATTCAAACGTTCTTCCTCTCACGTCTGGTCGCATTGTATTTTGGTCATGTATCGAAACGGCCTTTCCACCGTAAACACCAACGTGTGATGATGTGCGATAAGACGAAGCGATGATTTCGTGCACCCTCTCGTTCTAATGGTCTGTGTCAAACAGGAGCACCTGCTCGGCCTCGTGGAGAGCACTCTCGCGGACCTTGAGGACGCCGGCTGCATTGAGCTAGGAGGCGACGGCGGCGGGGGGATAGGGGACGGCGGCGGCGGGAAGGCAGGAGACGAGGTAGAGGCACCCACTCCACAGCAGCGGATCCCTTTTGCACGTGTCCAGGGGGAAATCGGAACTGTCTTCGTTGGTTTGGCTACCCACGTTTCCCCCTTCGGCCCTAATTCTTTGCACAGTGTTTGGGAGTGTACGGTGAAACATTGTTCATGCACGGGGGGGGGGGGGGGGGGGGGGGGTTCGTTGG